AGGGGAGAGACTCTTGCTCCTCGTCGCCCGCGCTGGCCCTCCCATTCCCCCTAACGGCCCAGGTCCCCCGCCCGGCCGTGCGTGGGGTGGGCTGGTCTCGCGTGGGAGTGATGCCCAACGGAGGCGACCTGGGGCGGCACGCCCAGGGCGCGCCGCTATATGAGGGCAGTGCGGCCGCCGTCTCGGAGTTGTCATAGTGCGCGGCGCGCCTGGTAGCGTGAGCCTGTAGGCAGGACTCCTCGGTAGCAGGACTCGCGCTGCTGAGGCACGGTAGCGTGAGCTTGTAGGCATGGCTCCTCGGTAAGGCTTGCGTTTGCTTCGTTTGCGAGGGTGCACAGGCACATTGGCGCTTCTTTCAACTCCCGCCTTTTCTGGCCCACGCAGGCAGGATTTGTAGAGTATTGCAGCTGGCTGTCATCGTGAGGGCTTGCCGCCCCGCAGCGGCGGGATGTCATTTTCCATGCACGGAAAGGGGATGTTGATGGCATGCCAGTTGTTCAGTGCTTTGTCGTGAGTGGCGCCCATGTGTCATAGGCTAAAGCTGGCCGTTGGGTTTCCAGGGTGGCGGTATCGGTGACAAGTTTCGTCAGCATGTTGGGGCTCAGCCTTTGGTGCCGCGTGGACGGCATCCTGTTGAATCCTTCTAGTTGAATCCTCCTCTTCCTCCTCCTCTGGAACTCGCGGGCGAGGAGGACGAGTTGGGGGGGAGAGGGGAGGGGGGGCAGAGGACGGACTGCAGGGAAGAAACGAAGAGGGAGTAGCAGCAGCCCCACATGAGTAGGAGGAGGAGGGGGAGGAGGAGATGGAGGAGGAGGAGGAGGAGGAGGAGATGGAGGAGGAGGAGGAGGAGGGGAGGAAAAGGAGAAGGACATGGGACGGGGGAGTTACAATCCGGGCGGGCAAGACCTGGGTTGCCACGTTTTTGCCCTGCCGACTTGTCCCGATTCGGCTTCGCCGGGGTCTGTCCAGCGGCGCGCCAGAAGGGGCAGGGCGAGTGAGCGGGGAGAGGGGCGCATGTCAAGGAAGGAAAAACCAGCCCGGCCCCTGTAAGTGGCGTAATTCGATTCGGGGGGCCCCAGTACATGTGGTCACCACGCCGAGTAGTGAGACAGTAGGGCTTCGGGGTCACCTCACGATTTGAGGGGCGTGGGTCGTTCTCCGAAGACTTCTCGGGCGCCCGGGGCATCCACGTGCGGTGACGGACCGTGTGGTGAGGTTTTGGGGGATTTCGAGGTCACCGCACGGTCTGTCACCGTACCGTTCTTGGACCCCCCGATGGGCATTCGGGGAGTTTGCTGAACAGCCCTGCCCTGTTCGATTCCTCTTGTGCGCGCTTTTGCTAAAGGTCTTTGGGTGTATGGAGTGTTCGTTCCGAGGGTGGTTAGTGTGGTCTCTTCGTATGAAGGGTTCGGAAGCACAACAAGGCACAATCCCCGATCCCGCTTCTGCCCCGTCCAGGACATGGATCCAGTCCATTTCTGGCCACACCCAGACCTTCGATGCCGCGGGTATGTCCCCGAATTAGCCCGTTGATTGGAGGGGTCCTCGCGGATATTGTGAGGATTCGGTGGGAGTGAGTCTCAGATTTCGTTGGCCAGGCAGGTTCTCTGGTTCCCGGTCCTGGGTCCCGCGTTCTTGTGCGGTTTAGCAAAGCGTGTCATGGATCCGATTCTTCTGGGCGGTCGGGTTCCCATATGCCTTCTTGCGAGTCCCAGTGACGGGTCCCCGCCGACTCCATTTGGCGGCAAGGTTTCTTGGTTCCCAGAGTAGACAGCACAGAGAGCAGCGAGAATGTGGAGCACCTATTTATACAAATACGCATGTGCATACTACATACATCACTTATGCTTATATACACATGAATACACATTCAGTTGCGTTGACGCGGCCAGGGACGGGGAGGAGGGGATCAGGTCCATGGCATTTCTTGTCTAAGCTTTCTACATGGGACCATTTTCTGACTGGAAGGCCAAAACGCAAGGACGTGCCCACATGGTTGAACGCATATTGAGTAACACCTGCATATGTATATAGAAAGTGTGCATGTGCATGAGAGAAGGGGAGAGGGAGAGAGATAGAGAGAGAGTGAGTGAGTAAGAGAGAGATAGAGAGAGAGAGAGAAGAGAGAGAAAGAGAGAGAACAAACAATGAGAGCGATGGAGAGAAAGAGAGTCGTGAGAGAAAGAGAGTCGCGAGAAAGAGAGAGAGAGAGAGAGAGAGAACACCAAAAAAAGGCGAGAGTAGGGCGAGTGGCCAGTGATGAGGAGGGCAGCGAGAGCACCGTGCAGAGGGCTGCAGATCGTTGGAAAGAGCACATCCCCCCCACACATGCCGGGCTGCCGAGCGCAGCGGGCACGGAGCAGAGCGCGGAGCGCAGCAGTCCCGCCAGCACGCCGCCCCGAGGCGCGGCCGCTGTGCGCCCCGCAGCTGCGGGGGCAGGACGTCCAGCAGGCCGCCGCCGCCGCCGGCGTGCTCTCGGCGGGGGCAGCGGCGACCTCGGCGGTGAAGCCCGAGCCCTGCTCTCGCCGGTCCACGATGCAGGCAACTCGCTGGGCGGCGGGGGCAAAGCGAAACGCCACGATTCTGCGAAGATGTTTTTTGGGGCAACGTTCGGCCTCCAGGTGCCGCCTTCGAGCCCCAGGGCCGTCAGGAGCACGCCCGGGGTGAAAAGCCGCACCAGCTGGACACTGGGAGGGAGCGGGAGACGGATGTTGAGCGGATTTGGCTCCATCCTCCTTGCCGACCGATTCTCTTAGGTCTCAACCAGCTCAGTCAGTCCCCCTGGCCGCCTCCGGCCTTCGCCGATCGACCAGTGTGGCAACCCAGTGGCGGCGGGGAGAGGGTTCGGAATCCGTCGAGCACGTGGCGAAGTCCGAAGCCTGCACCCGCCTCCCACCGGCTTAGGAGAACCGATGGTTGGTGGGGGCAGGGCTCGGATGTCGCCGTGGGCTGAGAACCTGGAACATCGAAGAGGAACAACTAAGCAGAAAGCCAAACTCTTTGGAGCACAACAAAAACTAAACAGAATACCAAACTAAAACAAACATCCAAACTAAAACTAAAACAAACATCCAAACTCCTCGGAGCTCAAAGCATCTGAACTTTCGGAGCTCGCCGCGAACTTCCTGGAGCGCCGCCGGACCCCCCCCCCCTGTGGCGCGCAGCGCGGAAGGGGCGGCGTCCGATGCGCCGCCAGGGGGGTCCAGCGCCGACTCAAGAAATCCGCGCGGCCTTCCGAAAGTTGGTGCTCCTTGTTTCCATTCTCCTCCTAGAAAGGCATGAGGAGCATGTAGAAGTCGGGGAACTCTGAGAGCACAATGCTCAATATCCGCGATAACGCCCGTGACCAACCCCGCCCCTCTCCCTCCCCCACCTCCCTGGTCACGTCACGTTTCGCGCCGGCGCCGTTCGGAAAGTGGCCACTCCTGGGCATTCCCAGACGGCGCCGGCGCGAATCGTGACGTGACTGGCCTCCTCCCCCCCCCACCTCCCGGGTCACGCCCGTTATCGCCAGGGGATAACAAGATTGTCTCGGAGAGCGTCAACACAACGTAGCAACGGCGCGACGTCGCTCTTGGCCTCGGATGTCCGGCTGACGCGTGGTTCGTTTTGCCGTGCTTTCGACGCGTCGCATGTTTCCCAAAAGCCCTTGGCGGATGAACCGACGTCCGTCCAGGAGCTGCGGAGACAGCTGCTTAGTGCAGCATTCCAGGGATGCGGACTTACATGTTCTGGTCGCGCACCGGGCAGCTAGAAGCCTACTCATCAGAATTTGATCGGCACAATTTTGTGCCAGGCTGAGGGTAGGAGGGACATTTGCTTGCTTTCAGTGAGCTCATTGCCGCATTGCCGATGTATGCCTCCCTCCCTCGCCCACACCTGCTCGGGCACACCCATACGTAGACCCGCTCATTCTCAGACTCGCTTGTGCTCAGACTCGCTCACACCCAGATTCGCTCAGACTGACGTCAAATCATACTCAGACTTCCTTATAACCCTCAGACTCACTCACACTCAGAGTCATCCAAACTCATATTCACTTGTAACCGGACTCACTCACACTCAGACTCGCTTCTACATCGATCCACTCATACCCAGATCTACCTTTGCAGCCCTCAGAGTCACTCGTAACCAGATCCACGCACACTCAGAATCGTCCGTACTCAATGTCTCTCATGACCAGACTCACTCGACTAGACGTAAGAGTGACCTTTCGCGGGAGTGACCTTTGGTGCGGGCTGGGTCCCCACATGGCTGAAAACGAAGCAGGAGCAGCGGCTTGCGCGCCCAGGTTTGGTCCCCCCCTGGCCCCCAGAAAGCCGCGCACCAAAGGTCACTCTTACCCAGGGCCACTCTTGCGTGTAGCCGACTCACTCACATCCAGCTTCACCCACATTGAGCCCAATTCAATACCGAATACGCAAGCACACACGCACACACGTACACACAAACTCAGCTATGCTTTATATATATATATATGTATATACACTTAGACTGACTCATACTCAGACGAATTAACCTTCAGACTCACTCAGAGTCAAAGTCACTATATCCAGTCACTCTGATTCAGCCCCATTCATATTAATACCATTCAGTGCCCTATGATCGTTGCGATATAGCAGGCATGGCACTTGTGCCTACCGAGGGAGTGCCGCCATGGGGTATGAGCCTGGCCCTTTCGCGCACAGTTTGTAAAGACCTATCAGGTGACAGACTCGTTCTGTGAAGTAGACGTGATGCGTTTCTGCTCAGAGCCTCATGGTGACCGCGATGTAGCATGCATGGCACTTGAGTCTCCCAATGGGGCGGCCGCCAGGGAGTCTGACACGGGCTCGTTCGCGTCCAGATTGCGGAGACCTAGGCGATCAAGTTGCCAAATCAATTAGTTCTTGCTCAGACTTACTCATATCCCGAACCCGTTGTTGAAGCCCACTGACATTCATATTCATTCATATCTAGCCGCACATGCTCACGCTTACACGCACCCAGACCCAGTCTGCATTCATACACGGTCTCAGTCACAGTCCGTAGCCATTATGGCTCAAGCCGTTTAGGCTCGGATATCTTGTAGGGCCCAGGCGCGGAGCGAAAGAGGCGCAGGGACAGTTGAGGGCCGATCGTCGCAGTAGCGCTCTCGCCTCGCCATGGCGATCAGATCCCAGCGAGAAGCGTCTCCAGGCGGGCGCAGATTTGCCCCGGTGTATTGCGCTGCAGCCGCAGTGTTTGCGTCATTGGTTCGGTCGTGTCTATCCTGTTGCTTCGTGCGCTCGCAGCTGCCGCGCGGGCGCCGTCGAGACACCAGAGCGAGGGCCGGCATTGAGTTTTATACCATGGATATGTGTCCTTACGCTCAGCGCACATGGATCGCATTGGAGGAGAAACAGCTTGATTATGATCGTAAGCTCGTTGATGTCCGCAACGCTTCTCAGCGCGCGTGGTATGTTGAACACATCAATCCGTTGGGCAAGGTGCCATCGATCCGTGACACTTCTGATGGCACTGTTGTCTACGAGTCCGAGATCGTAAATGAATATTTGGAACAAAAGTATGGTGGTGATCGTAGGCCCCTGATGCCAGCAGATGCTGCAAGTAGCGCTGCAGTGAGACTGTGGAACCATCACTTGAACAACAAGCTCGCACCAGCACACTTTACATACCTCATGAACAAGAACGAGTCTGCTGATATTACCATGCGCGAGGCGCTGGAGGATGCCCTTCAGTACTACGAAAGCCATATCGTTGGCCCGTATTTGATCGGAAACCAATTCACCCTGGCTGATGTCAGTGCTCTGCCGTTCTTCGAGCGACTCATATTTTCTTGTCGACGGTATAAGGGATACGAGATTCCTCATTCGATGGGCCGCCTTCGTGCTTGGCTGGAGCTGGCAATGCAGCGACCCTCGTTCCTTGTGACCAAGCGCCCCGAGAATAAGTTGGAAGAGCTGTACAATCGATTCCTCGACGTTGACTACAAGTTTGGGGGTCTCAACCGCAATTGAGCAGATCCTGACCTCCAATTTGCGGCGCGATCCACCGACCCCATCTATTCGGACCCCATCGAGGAGGCCTCCAGCATAGGCAGCGAACGGACTACAGCCGAGCTTGGCGCAGTAGCCTCGCGCAGCAGTTCGCTTCTCTCTCTCTCTCTCTTTCCCCTCTGTGGCGTGGCGCGTGGTCACGGTCAGCAAGAGTGGACCACGGGTAGGCCGGCGAGATTTTCGGGGAGGAGCTCACGGGGAAGATTTGCAAAAAACAAAAAATGAGACGCCCTATCTCGGCCTCTCACGCTGACTCTCACCCAGACTCGTTCATGCTCAGTCCCACTCATTCTCAGACTCGCCAGTACTCAGGACCACTCATGCACAGCCATTTTTTCTGAGGCGCAGTCCGGCCCAGATTCATTCATCTTCTGCCGCTGACATCCAGTCACATTCTTGTTCGGAGCCACAGATTTCAACTCGACACTCAAGAAGGAAAGCATTGGAACATAAGGGGCGCGTGCAGAGATCCCGCGTTGTTTGTGTTCTATTTGGGCCTTCCGCAGCGGACCATGTAACATTGGTTGGGGGCGAAGAGCATCCCATGGGAGTGGGTCGAGTCCGTTAGGGCCTGCGTACGGAGCTTCCACCTTGTCGGATGTATGGTTTTGCTCGCCATCTCTGGTCCTGCTGGAGTGTCGTCGCCGCTAGGGCTGGACTCAGCCCGAGAAGTGAGTCAGGGCGGACCCCTGAGGCGATCAAGGGATTGCCCTTGAGCCGGTTTTAGCCGGGGAGCATGTCGAAGGGGGGTGGGGCGGCCTCGTGACGTTGCAGCATGTCGTTCCTGCGGTGGGCCGTCACGTGGCTGGGCACGCTGGCCCTCAGCGCGTGTATCCAGCGCGTGGCCTTTCATGTTCCGCATGTGAATGCAGCTCTGTGCGTGTGTGAGTGTGTGTGTGTGTGTGTGTGTGTGTGTGTGTGTGTGTGTGTGTGTGTGTGTGTGTGTGTGTGTGTGTGTGTGTGTGTGTGTGTGTGTGCGTGCGTGCGTGCGTACGTGCGTGCGTGTGTGCGTGCGAGCGTGCGCGTGCGCGTGCACTTGCGCGTGCGCGTGCGTGCGTGCGCGTGTGCGTGTGAGTGTGCGTTTGCGTGTGCGTGTTTGTGTGTGTGACAGTGTATGTGTGTGTGTGTGTGACAGTGTATGTGTGTGTGTGAGAGTGTGTGTGTGTATTTGCGTGCCTGCGTGCGTGAAGCGTGCGTGTGTGTAATTCTGTGTATAATATGCTTGATCCCTCTCTTTCTCTCTCTCTCTCTCTCTCTCTCTCTCTCCGTCTCTCTCTCTCCCTTCCTCTCTCCATCTCTCTCTCTCTCTCTCTCTTTTTCTATCTCTCTCTCTCTCTCTCTCCCTCTCTCTCTCTCTCTCACTCCCTTTGATAGTTTTATGTGTCTTTGGTGCAGACGCGCGGCGAAGCAGACGAGGGGCGAATAGGCCGAGCATCCCTTCAGAGGGCTGGGGGGGGGGTCTACAAGTCTGCCCTATACAGAGGGGGGCGTCCTTGCCACCGCGGACCGGGCGGGCAGCCTTCAGTTGGCGGCCCGCGTGACCTTGTTGGTGGCGGGTCGCAGATCTATCGGCAATGTATCGTTGATTGTAGGCACATGAGCGGCGCAAACAAAAACAGGGTCTTCTGCGCCGACATTCCTGCGTAGGTTGCCCGCGTGCGGTCGCGCGTAAGCGCTCTCGTCTTCATTGTGGCGTGCCGCGCTGGCGACCCGCGTACGCCACCGCGCAAGGTCGCTGTGTCATCCTGCGGACGATGTTCTTTGTTGTTTCAATCGTCGTTCGCATGCTTCCTGTTTCCCCCAGCCGTTCTCCCTGCCCCCGTTCGCCTCCCCAGCCGCAGAAGGCAGCCGGACACCACCACCTCCGCCTCCTCTTCCGCCTCCTCCTTCTCCTCCTCCTCCCCCTTCTCCTCCTCCTCCTCCTCCTCCTCCTCCTCCTCCTCCTCCTCCTCGAACACCACCTCCACCATGGCTGGCCAGGGCCAGCCTCGGCCCCCTAGCCCGGGAGGGCGGGTGCACCGTGCCGGGGCCCTGGATGGCCCCGGCCAGACACCCGGAAGCCCTTGACGTCGTGATGGGTTTGCAGCGTGTTAGCCACGCGCAGATCAGATCCGCTGTGACCAGATCTCTTTTTCACAGCGTGTCCGCCGCCCTCCCTTGAAGGCACAGTGAAAGCTCGTCGGCGGGTGTTTGATCTATATATATATATATATATGTATATGCACACCTACATACATATACATGTAATAAGTATCGACAGGTGTATGTTAGATAAATACATATTTATGTATGTGTTTATACACAAATAATTTCGCAGCGTGGATCCCCATCGGGCCGTGGTATCTCGGCCCAACCATCACACCGCCCCAGTTAGGAAGATACCACTCGGAACCCGCGGGAGCAGCCTATATCCCTATCTTGTGGGTTAAATCGGCCACAGGGCAGCCGTGCGCAGAGGAGGGTAAGAGGAGGGGGGAGGGCTTCTTGGATGTACCCCTGCTTCTCAGAAGGCGCGGGCCTTATTCATAGACGGGCCGGCGCCATCTACGAAGCAGCCTCCTTCTTAGAAGCCCTCTCCCATCTCTCCACCCCCTTTTGCGCGGCGCCAAACGCGGATCTCCTGGACCATTCCTGGGGACTGGCTTTTCATCCCGAATCCCGAGGTGTTTTCTGACGGTCCCTGGGCTTGGCGAGGGCTTCCAAGAGGCAGAGCATTGCAACAAACATGCGTCCGTTCTGATTTCTGTCACGACGCGAGGGGGTGTGGTGGGAGTACGGCTTTGGCCAGACACGGTGGCAGTGCTCAGTTGCCCCCTGCGCAGTCTCGGGCCCCTCCCTGACGCGGGGAGCGCGCCGATCCAAACAATCCGCGCGGAGTTGCGGTAGCTCCGTGTCGTGTCGACCTCGGCGGCGGCGACCAAGAATCGGTCGGTGTTGAACACCGCCGACGACCCAGAATGGGTCGATGTTGAACGATCTGAAGTGTCGGACAAGGCCGATCGTTCAAGGTTGAGTGATCCCCTCGGCGTCGGGAACCCACGCCGAAGTCGGCACGACACGGACCTGCCGTACTGAAGCTCGTGACTAATTATCCAGTTTTGTATTGCTCGAGGAGCAGGGAAAGGAGCAGCAGGAGCGAGAGGCTTTGAGCGCGGCGCCCGCGTCCTGCCCCCCCGCAACCTCCAGCCAGGTCTGAGGGCCGGCGCCTCCGCGCCGCTCTCGCCAGCTCCCCGCAGCGGGCTCGGGCGGCCTGTGCTTACCACCGATCGGAGTGGCGCCCCCCCACCATGGAGGAAACCCAGACATGCTCGCCCGGTGAAGAGCTCAACCATTTGTGAACGAGTGGCGGCAATAAACAGGACCGCTATTTAGCCTGGCGGACGCAGCCACCAGGGCCTTCGGTGGGGCTCCTGCGGGGACACGAAACGTGTGAAGGGTGCGCCGACATGGGACGGGGCCGCATACGACCGCAGCCACTGGGGCCTTCGGTGGGGCTCCCTACGGGGGCACGAAGCGTGTGAGGGGTGCAGCGACATGGGGCGGGGCCGAATGCGAGCGCAGCCACTGGGGCCTTCGGTGAGACTCCCTGTGGGGCCGCGAAATGCGTGAGGTGTGCGCCGACATGCCGCGGGGCTGTATGCGAGTGCAGCCACTGGGGCCTTCGGTGGGGCCGCGAAATGCGTGAGGTGTGCGCCGACATGCCGCGTGGCTGTATGCGACCGCAGCCATTGCGGCCTTCGGTGGGGCCCCCTACGGGGCCACGAAGCGTGTGAGAGGTGCGCCGACATGGGGCGGCGCCTCATGCGACCGCAGCCATTGAGGCCTTCGGTGGGGTTCCTTATGGGGTCGCAAGACGTGTGTCTGGTGTGCCGACATGCCGCGGGGCCGCATGCGACCGCAGCCATTGGAGTGTCCTCTCTACCGGACCACAACATGCGTGAGGTGTGCGCCGACATTGGGCGGGGCCGCGTGCGACCGCAGTCATTAAGGCCTTCGGTGGAGCTCCCTGCGGTGCCGCGAAATACGTAAGGTGTGCGCCGAAATGGTGCGGGACCGCATGCGACCGCAGCCACTAAGGCCTTCAGTGGAGCTTTCATTGGGCCACGAAGCGTGTGAGGGGTGTGTCGAGATAGGGCGGGGCCGCATGCGACCGCAGCTACTGAGGGCTGCTCGTGGACCTCCTTATGGGGCCACGGAACGTGTCAGGGGTGCGCCGACACGCGGCGGGGCCACATGCGAGCGCAGCTATTGGAGCGACTGATGGAGCTCCTTATGGAGCCACGGAATGTATGAGGTGCGCCTTCCGGAATGATGATGGCGGTGATGATGCTGGTCACGATGGTGATGGCGATGACGATTATGATAATGATGATGATGATGATGGTGATGATGATGATGATCATGATCATGATCATGATCATGATGATGATCATGATCATGGTTATTGTGGTGGTGTCGATACCGATGGTGATGATGTTGAATGTTGATGATGATGTTGACGATGTTGATGATGATGATGATGCTGATGATGATGATGATGATGATGATTATGGTGATGGCGATTGCGATGGCGATGGTGATGATGTTGCTGATGATGATGATGATGCCGATGATGATGATGACGGTGGTGATGGTAATGGAGATGATGGTGTTGGTGATGCCGATCATAATGCTGATGATAATAATGATGTTGATGATGATGATCCCAATCATGATGATGTTGATGATGAGCATGATCATGATCATGATCATCATGCTGATGATGATGCGGATGGTGATACTGATGGTGTTGTTGATGAGGCTGACGCTGGTGGTGCTAATGATTTTGCGACTAATGATGATGATGATGTTGATGTTGATGGTGTTGCTGATGATTATGATAATGGTGATGACCGTGGCTGGTGGTGATGGTGATGCTGATGTTGATGATATGAGGATCATGATAGGGGATGATGATGGGGATGGTGTTGAAAATGAGTGATGGCGGTACTGCTGATGATGACGATGCTGATGATGGTGACGCGGCTGGTGGTGATGGTGGTGGTGATGATGATTATCATGCTGATGATATTGATGGTGAGGATGATAATGAGGATTATGATGATGCTGACGATGATGATGGTGATGATGATGGTTGCGATGGTGGTGGTGGTGGCGGTGGTGAGAGGAGGAAAGGGAGGATGAGGAAGAGGAGGAGGAAGGAGGGGGAGGAGGAAGAGAGGAAGCAAGGATAAAAACGACGCTTCGAATCCAAAACGAGGACACACAGGAGGGTAGGGAATAATCAGGACGGGAGGTTTCTTGTTATTTTCGGCCTCCCTTGGGCCTTTGCTGGGCCCCGGGACCATGAACCATTTTTCCGGATGAAAAGCCGGCCCGGGAAATGGTCGGGTTTTCCAGAGGCCGCGCGTTGAAAAATCAGGGCATCGA